TCATTCTATCTTCTACATGGAACGTGCACCTTCTTGCAACTTGGCGATGACATACATGGAAAGTTCATTCATTTTCACGAGATCAGTACATAGAACCTTATCTTCTTGTAGGTTGGCGCAGAAGGACTAGATAAAGCGCCATTTCCTCAACGAGAGACACTTCCCCTTTGGCAGCCTTGAGTATCTCATCCTTGCGGCTTGGCTAGACTAACACTTGGAATAGTCCTAGTCCTTTTGCAACTTCAGCGAGAAAGAAAAGAAAGCGTTGAATCAAATTTTGCCGCATTTTTGACGATGCAATATTGAACTTGAAGCAAGAATCTACCTCCTAACTCTTCTCACTGTGCAGACAACTCGATGAGTCGAAAGTGTAGGCAAAGAATCGCGGACAAATTAGCTACTTGAAGATGTCCATATTGCGTTCAAAGCTACTGATGCTGATAATTCATGATGCTAGACACTAGACGTCATAGAGGTTATCACGCACTCTAGCTACTGCTTGGACTTTTTCTTCTTCTTCTTCATTTTTTCAGCTTTGCATCTTTGTCGTAGAATTTTTTTTTTGTCTCAACGCAGAAGTGAGAAAAATATTATCTGTTTGCAGTTCCAAAACTTGTACTTCAAAGGCTACATTATATCTAAAAGTTGCGGCATGATCTTTCGTTGAGTTCTTAGGTAATTTCTTGTCTTGACAGTAGCTCTAAATTTGACAGACTTCCTGTTGCAGATTTGCGCATCCTCACGAAAAAATTGTATATTTCGCTAGCGTTTGACCATAGATTCCCAAATTTGTTTTGAAAAATCTGATTTGGGTAAAATTTGGTTTGAAGATGAAAATGTGTTTGGACATCAGTTTTCAAAATATATTTCTTAAATTTATTTTTGAAAAATATGAAACATTACTTATAACCACAAGTTCTAAAAACGATCACAAATACCCAACAGTACCATTATCAATAACATTCATTATATTATCGGAAGCCATAGTCCTGAACATAAATAAATTTTATACAAAATTCTCATTTTTATAATGAACTACACTATCAAATGACGGAGAAATTCTACTAAAAAATTGATCTATGGCAACAGTGGCAAAACCATTACAATAGATACGCAAACCGTTACCATAGACTTATTGCAACGGTTTAGGGACCGTCACATCCGGTTGCGTGGCAATAGCTCTATCGCAACGGTTGCATAGTTGTTGCAATAGGTCCATGTATGGTAACAGTTTTGGAATCCTTGCAATAGGTCAATCTATTGTAACAGTTACTTAGTCAAATGGGACGGTTCGAAATCGTCTCAATAATATTTTAGGGAACGGTATTTTCTGCTATAGCAGCGGTTTAAATGATATATTGCGACGGTTATTAGTAGTTCACTTGACGGTTATTAAAGGCTATTGCAACAGTTATTAGGAGCTGCTGCAACAGTTATTAGGAGTTATTGCAATAGTTATTAGGAGTCACCACAACGATTCATGAAGGCTTGCAAACAATTTGTTGAAGCTATTGCAACAATTTATTTAGACTTTCCATAAAAATAAACTTTATACTATTGTCTAACAATTCAAAAGCATGCATAAGCTCTCAAAGTAATGAAAATCCAAAATAAAAGATTCCTAAAATATCTTAATACACTAATATTTTTAGAATAATCCCATAATTCTAAGCAATATTTTTGCCTCTTTCATCCACTCTTTGCTCATCCGATCCACCTATTGTCATCACCCCAGTACGCCCTCCGTGAACTATCCTGATGGCACCTAGTCTCTACGACTAGGTAAGCCTAAATTGCGGAAGATAGCCAAAACTTGTAGAAGTAAAATAATTTAAAAGCAGAAATAAGGCAATAATAGTGTTTAAATGTGCCGCTCGGCATGCACCATATATGAATCTCAAAACCAATATCCAAATCCAAGACCCGGAAACCCACGAATCACAAGCTAAGAAAAAGAAATAATACATAGCTCTAACTCCGGAATTTGTCTAATAAGAACAGAATGTACAGAAGGGCTAAATACTAAAAGGCAAGAATAGAAAGGGACTCCTCGGTCTGCGGACACGGCAAATGTACCTCGACTTCTCTAAGTAGTCGCCTCCCTCAAGGATGGTAGGCCTGAGTAGAAGTACCTGGAACTGCACATGAAAAACATGTGCAGAAGGGGCATGAGTACACCACAACGGTATTCAGTAAGTGCCAAGCCTAATCTCAATCGGGTAATGACGAGGAAGGTCAGGGCCCTACTGAGGTTAAATACAATATAAGGGTTAACAGTGTGGAATAAAACAGTATAAATAAGTGCAACAGTAAGAAATAACATAGAATTGACAGAACAACAACAATTAGAACAGAGACAAAACAAGTCACAGAAAGAAATACAGCTGAACACAGAGATAACAATCGGGGCACCTTCTAAGATACCGTCCTGTAGTCCCAATTACAACTGTCCAGTGGATCTCTCGGGATANACAAAACAAGCCACGAAAAGAAATACAGCTCAACATAGAGATAACAATCGAGCATCTTCCAGGATACCGTCCTGTAGTCCTAATTACAACTGTCCAGTGGATCTCCCGGAATACCATCCCGTAGTCCATCATATATATCTGAAGGATCTCCCGGGATCCCGTCCCGTAATCCACCTATCAGTGCACGGGGATCTACCGGAATCCCGATCTGTAGTCCCCAATATAAATACCCAGTACTGGGGGAACCTACCGGGTGCAGTCCCGTAGTTCCATATAACTGTACAGGGGGATCTACCAGGAATCTAACCCGCAATCCCAAAGTAAATGTGCAGGGGATCTATCGGGAATCTAAACCGCAGTCCCAAAGTAAACAGACAAGGGGGAGCTACCGAAATCCCACATCCTTAGTCCCAATGTAAATACACAGCAGCAACAATAAAATATTCAGAGAAAGGAAATTTCATATTAAGGCAACAAATAATTCTAGGCTAGCATGTTGCACAGAGTTCAGGTAAATAGATTGAACAATTAAAGCAATTAAATCACTTAGACATGTTTTCCTAAGCTAATAACGGGCTTAATAGTACAAGTAATAAAAGTAGGAGAAGGAACATACTAATAAGTACTTAAAGAAAACCGAATTTCCAACAATTTGCACAAGTACACATTCGTCACTTCATGTACAAGGCTTTTCAATTACCAAATATATCAATCCTAAGGGGAAGATCCCCCACACAAGGTTAGACAAGCCACTTACCTCGAACCGGCTCAAAATCAACCTGACACCATGTCTTTGCCACGAGTACTCGACTCCAAATGACCCAAATCTATTCAATTCATTTGCGTAATGTAAATAACACTTCAATTAATTGATTCTACAATTAAATTATAAGCTAATACGCGAAATTGTATAAAATGACCAAAATGCCCCTCGGAGCTACGTCTCGGATTTGGGTGAAATTTATATTTTCAGAAACCTCGTACTCTCACGAGTCTATACATAACAAGAACACTAAAATCGGAGTCCAAATGACCCCTCAAATCCTCATTTAAAGGCCTCTTAAACTTAAGCCCTAATTACCCATTTTTTCCGAAATTTTACACCACTAATTAGGTCTTTAATCACATAAAAATGAGTTATGAAGTCAAAAATATTACCTCCAAGTGATTCCACTTGAATCCCTCTTCAACCCTCTTCAAAAAGCTTCAAAATCGCCTAACAATGGAGGAACCTAGGTTAAAATTCGCGAAATAAACCTTTTAAAACATACTGCCCAGGCATTTAATTCCTTCTTGGCGAACGCGGTCAAAGCCTCGCGTTCGCGAAGCACAAAAATGACGTTGACAAAAAGTTCTCTTAAGAGAACGCGACAAGGCCCTCGCGAACGCAATGCTTTACCCGTCTAACCTTCGCGAACGCGTTCCTCTCATCGCGAACGCGGTTCACAAGTATCCAGCCCTTCACGAACGCGGATATCCCATAGTGAACGCGAAGGCTTAATATTTGACTTCCTCAAATGACTCTTTGCGAACGCGAGGTTCCACTCGCGAACTCGAAGGGTAAAATTCCTCTACAAAAGCTGAACAAAATATGCAACTTTTTAACAACTTAAAAAGATCCGTTGAGCATCCAAAATTCACCCGAGGTCCCTGGGACCTCAACCAAAGGTACCAACATATCCTAAAACCTTATTCAAACTTGTACGAATATTCAAAACACCTCAAACAACATCAATTCAACCAAAACACATCGGATTCATGCCTAAGTCTTCCAAAATCATCCGAATCACGCTTTTGATAAAAACTCAACCAAACCACCTCTGAATGACCTGAAATTTTGCACACACATCCCAAATGATATAACAAAACTACTGCAACTCTCGAAATTCCATTTTGACCCTCGAATCAAAATCTCACTATCGAACCGGAAACTTCAAAAGTTCAACTTTCGGCATTTCAAGCCTAAATTTGCTACTAACCTCCAAAACACAATCTGAATACGCCCCTAAGCCCGAAATCACCTAGCGGAGCTAACGGAACCATCGAATTTCAATTCTGAGGCCGTCTTCATAGTGTTCCGACTACGGTTAACTTTCCAACACTTAAACTCTCATTTAGGGACTAAGTGTCCCAAAACTCTCCGAAACTTAAAACCGAACATTCCACTAAAACAAAATAGCATAAATAAACTTAGAGAAAGTAGTTAATAGGGGATCGGGGCACTAATTCTTAAGACGACCGGCCGGGTCGTCACACCTATAAAAGATGAAAATAAATGATTTAGTAAATTTTTTAAAAGAATTTAACATCCAGTATATAATCTAAGTAGTACCTTGAAACTTTAAGTGCAATCCAGCTCAAATAAGTCAATAAAGCTTTGCAAATTCAAAGTTGTCCCAGAGATGAAGTAAAGGATCTACATATGGCCAGTTAGAAGAGAGATCACTGATTGGAAATCCATCCCTAAATATGCTAGTTCTATAACGAAAAATAACTTAAATCAAATTTTCCAACTCCAACCCAGAGATGAATTAAAGGCCCTACATATGGCCAGTTAAAGAAGATTATTGACTGCAATCAAAATGGTGTTGTAATGTTTAACAATGCAATTCAGATCAAGGAAGTCAATAAAACTTCGCAACTGCAAATTCAAAGCACTCCAGAACTGCAAATTCAAAGCAGTCCTAGAGATGAACTAAGTGTTGGAATAAGACAACATTTAAAAATATATTAACCTGACAAAAAATAATAGTTTCATCAAAATGGATAAATATACTTTTACAACATGAAAACTTCAATGTTGGGCTCATTATAGGGATTATATGCAAGTTTTGGGCTGAAGCTTTGACATTCCTACAAGAGAAAAATAGTTTAAAACTAATTAGCCTCCTTCAAATTAAAAGCTGCATGTAAATTGAGTTGGCCATGTTATCACTGCAAGCTTTATTTTCTATATGGAATCAAAGACTTGATGCAGATATTTCTGTACCTAAAATTAAACATACGCAATGATACAATATCTAAAGACTCATTATAGTTTTACCATGGGAACTCAACTTTCAGTTGGGACAATAATCAGTTTTGCAGGCACTTCAAGGACCATTATTTATTACTTTGCTACCATAGGAACAACAAGAATAGAAACGACATCGCTTCAATTTACAAGAGGATAAGTGATTACCATATATAAAGGACTTCTATATAATTAACTAAACCGCACAACTTTCATTCACACATTAAAAATGTATCTGGAAAAAGAAAAAACAAGTCCAACTACACAGTTATTGGCACAATCAAAAAAACAACTTATTGTCACTTGAAACATGTCTCGAAGAATGCTCTTTAGTAAAGTAGATCCAATTTCATAAAATATTTATCTTAATTAATGTCACGAAGATTTAGAGGCAAGTCAGTTGAAAGCTTAACAGTGAAAGTATTTGGTAGCTAATGTTTAAGAGGCATTGGGAGATTGATGCATTGGAAGCATTGTTGCAGGAACTGAACATGATTGCTTTGGTGGATGGAGAAGATAATTGTCTTGTTTGAATAGATCAAAAAATTTATTACTACCAAAAAAGATACTTCCTATTAATTTTTATGCATGAGATTATCCTATCTTTTCTGTCTCAACATTTTTTTTCTTTTTTCCTAGTAGTGGCATCTAGGCTTTGTGCGTGCCTTGACTATTTCGCTATCATCACATTTCTTTATATTATATGTTCCACATTTCTATTTCAACATTTCAATGTATGATATATTTATGATTCTCTATGCTACGAAATTGATATGTGTCATTCCTTTGTTGTATCATTTCTCAAAGTTTACCATGTCAATATGTCCGTGACTAATCATATTGTATTTGACTTTTTTTTTTTTTTTTTTTTTTTTTTTTTTTTTTTTTTTTTTTTTTTTTNTTGCTTTCTAGGTTGATATAGGAACTCAAATTGTATGAACTTTAATATAAATGCACCCTGTAGATAAACATTATAAGTAGAAGTAAAACTACCTTCCTAAGTTCCTAGTGACAATGATTATACAGTGAATCTAAAAGAATTTCCAATTTTTATTATTGATATATTATATGCCACAGAGATATCTTAAAGTAAAAACTCCATTTTGACATGAGATCTACCATTTTGCAAGTATTTCACTTAATTTATGGAAATAACCTTGCATTTCAGATGGTTATTTCCATACATCCATGTAGTCCAATCAACACCAATATAACAACTCAAGAAAGAGAGTAAAAAAAGGGTCATGATACCTCAAGAGCTTTTCCTCTCTGTATTATTTTCGGAAATAAATTGCCTCTCGGGGAATACTAGCCTTCACCATCACCTATGTCTGCATCTGAAGATCCATCTTCATAGTATTCATTAGTCATTTCATTCTCTTTTTCATCACTTTCTTCTTCTCTCGTAGCCTCTTCATAAACCACACTAGTAATATAAGTTTTGGCATGCCAAGAAATACGATATATTTATAAAGATTAATGCATAATAGTGAAAAAAGGAAGTAATTTACTGGTGCTATTTTCTGCGAACTATAAGTAGGTGGAATCTCTCATTTACTGAAATCTCATTTTTTGAGTTTCGGTCTCATGAATGATTAGATAGAATGATCAATACAATAAGCTTAAAGTACAAACGAACATGCTAATATGCACTCAACCTTTCTTCAATTGCAGCATTATTTGTATACGACAGTCAAAGAAATTCATTGAGAACTACTTTCAAACACTTGTGAGCCTAAAAATTATAATACTGCTTCAACAAATATGGAGCAGATTTTCCCCCAAATTTTTTGAAACCTCAATTCAATACGCTACAAACATTTCACTCCTAGGTAGTGCCATTAATTAAATCTACAGTTATACCCATTTACTTCAAAACTTCTCTTGAAATAGCACAAGGATAATATGTAATAACAAAGCAGACATAATACAGTGAAATTCAAGAGCTCAAGAGTGAAAAATCAATCAAGCATACAAGCTCGCAAATACCATAAACAGGATCAGATGACACACTTAGGAAATTCCAGTTCTTTTTTCTACCAACATAGTTAGGGTACCTAATTGGATATTAACCAAAGAATTTATTCACCCATTTAGAGATAAATTACAAAATAAAATCTTAATAAAACAAGGTTTGTAACTTACCCAAGCACAGAGAACTTTGATGGTCTCACTTCAGCTAGTAGCAGATACATGGATCTCAGAGGAAAGTGACTCTTGCACCATTCAGCACACCCTTCAAGATGGGAAACCTGAAAGAACCAGACCTTGACTCTTTGCCGCTCCCAAAATATTACTTTCCCTAGACTCTGTGAGGTTGAAGAGATATACTAGAGCCTTGACAGAGTGCCTTGCAGGAGTGACTCGCTGGAGGGGTTAGGGTTTCAAGGGGACGAAGCTACGAGAAGGTATATGGACATTTTGATATGTTCTAAGGTTAAGAGAACAAGTTTTAGGAAGTAAAAAAATGTCTAGGTGCTAGTAAAATTGGGTTTAGTGAAATTAGAAGAGGGAAATTATGGGGGGAAAGTAAAACCGTTGCAAAAGTCAAAATTTTCAACTAACCGTTACCATACATAAAGCTATTGCAATGGTTGTGACAACTGTTGCGATATATAAATATGTAGCAATTGTAACGGTTTATTTTTAGAGATGTTCCAAGAGGTTCGACAGGTTTATGCAACGGGTGAAACCGTTCCAATAGATGGTCTATTGCAACGGTTATGTAACGGTTGCTACGAATATCATTGCAATAGGCCTATTTTCTGAAGAACTACTTGGAGCATCCGTATGTCCGAATTTTACGAAACTTGTCGCATCATTCTATTCTCTTTGGTAAGGAAGTGCGTGGAGCATCAATCATTCTATCTTCTACATGGAACGTGCACCTTCTTGCAACTTGGCGATGACATACATGGAAAGTTCATTCATTTTCACGAGATCAGTACATAGAACTTTATCTTCTTGTAGGTTGGCGCAGAAGGACTAGATAAAGCGCCATTTCCTCAACGAGAGACACTTCCCCTTTGGCAGCCTTGAGTATCTCATCCTTGCGGCTTGGCTAGACTAACACTTGGAATCGTCCTAGTCCTTTTGCAACTTCAGCGAGAAAGAAAAGAAAGCGTTGAATCAAATTTTGCCGCATTTTTGACGATGCAATATTGAACTTGAAGCAAGAATCTACCTCTTAACTCTTCTCACTGTGCAGACAACTCGATGAGTCGAAAGTGTAGGCAAAGAATCGCGGACAAATTAGCTACTTGAAGATGTCCATATTGCGTTCAAAGCTACTGATGCTGATAATTCATGATGCTAGACACTAGATGTCATAGAGGTTCTCACGCACTCTAGCTACTGCTTGGAATTTTTCTTCTTCTTCATTCTTTCAGCTTTGCATCTTTGTCGTAGTCTCAACGCAGAAGTGACAAAAATATTACTTATCTGTTTGCAGTTCCAAAACTTATACTTCAAAGGCTACATTAATTATATCTAAAAGTTGCGGCATGATCTTTCGTTGAGCTCTTAGGTAATTTCTTGTCTTGACAGTAGCTCTGAACTTGACAGACTTCCTGTTGCAGATTTGCGCATCCTCACGAAAAAATCTTATATTTTGCTAGCGTTACACCATGGATTCCCAAATTTGTTTTGAAAAATTTGATTTGGGTAAAATTTGGTTTGAAGATGAAAACGTGTTTGGACATCAGTTTTCAAAACATATTTCTCAAATTTATTTTTAAAAAATATGAAACATGACTTATACCCCCAAGTTCTAAAAACTATCACAAATACTCAATAGTATCATTATCAATAACATTGATTATATTATCGCAAGCCATAGTCCTGAACATAAATAAATTTTATACAAAATTATCATTTTTATAATGAACTAAACTATCAAATGACCGAGAAAACGAAGCAACATTGTTACAAAATAATAAATGGTGGGCTCTTTTATGAAATATAAAAGTTTGGGGCAATTTTTTAAAAATGTAATACTGATATTTTGGCCCAAAACTAGCTACTGAGCTGGTTTTGAGATATAGGATTTGAGATTTTGCCAAAATGTAGGCAAAATCGAAGGCCTAACATGTGTTTGCCAAATAAAACCCAAATTTATTTTGGCAAAATTTATGGCCAAACGGGTCCTTCATTTTAGGAGTATGGAGATCGCAAATAGTTTATGGTGCTGGAACCTAGACTCATAGAGCTACGACATACATGAAAATCACCATCAGATAAATCATAAATTTGCTCAGGTATTTTACTGAAATCAGCTTTAAATTCTAATTTGCTGATTATTTCAGTTTTGCGCGCTCTCACTAAATAACTCGTATCTTGACGTAGGAAAAATAGAGTTGTGATCCGCTTCATATTCTGAAATATGGACTTCAAAAGAATGCAACATATCAACAAACTCTTTTCGGATCGGTTGGAATTAATCTTTTGAAGCTAACTAAGAGATCCGCCGATCTGCCACACTGACTTTCTAGATTTGCAGCTTTGGCGGAAAAATTCACATTCCGTGCTTGCAATGCTCAAATTGCGAGACGCTTGATCATACAGAACAGTAGCTCAAAGATTTGCAACATATCCAAAATTCAAAGCCAAATTCCTTCTGGTTTGGTCGAAATTAATTTCTGAAGTGATTTACAAATCTGACTTGTTTGCTTCACAGCTTTGAGTGCTCTCGTATGAAAAAATCATATCTCGAGCTAGGATCGTTCAAATCAGAAGCCGCTTAATTTTTTAGAATAAATATTTTTATGTTCTGCAGCATACTAGAAAATTAGAGCAAACTGCCCTTTGTATTGGCCGAAATTAATATTTGAACCCGAGGTCCTGGTCTTCCATGTTGCCTTTTCTGCTTCCCGCACTCTTACCGAAAAAATCATATCGTGATGTAAGAGCGTCAGAATTACCAAAGATTTGTACTGCTGAAAACTAGACATCTAGAGCTTCAACATATTCAAATTTCATAGCCGAACTCCTTCTAGATAGACTGGTACAGTGTTGGTCCAGATGTTTGCCCAGCTAGCTTTCTAGCTTTGTGCACCTTCACTGCAAAATTCATATGTAAAAATTAGATCTCCACCATTAGAGCCGTTTGCGGCATTGGAAAGAGGCCTCTGATATGCAAAACATATGTAAAAATTAGATCTCCACCATTTTCGATCCAGTCACAGAAATATTTTGAATCAAGCACTGAAATCGGGAGAAATGTTCGAGCAATATACTTTTATATATATATATATATTTTGCAGTTTCGCAGAGACGTTCATGGAGAGTTCTCCATCACAAATCAGGTGAAGAAGTATATGATCACCATACAGTTCTTGGAGGCGAAAAGGTATACGAAACATCCCATCAATCGAGACATGGCTTGGACGACCTTTTCTTGCAATTTTGTGAAGAACTTCATGGAACATCCCAACCTTTAAAGTCTGGTGTGCCACAACCCCTTCTTGCAATTTATTGAAGATGTGAACGGAAAATCCTTCTCACGACTTGATGAAAGGATACATATAGTGCTCCATTTTTCGATCTTTGGAGGAGAGCATCATCCGCTTCTCTTTGCCATCATGATAAAGAGACTTTTCTTTATGTGACTGAACTCAGAATGAAACTCTAAGCTACCTATATACCCCGTTGAAGAGGATCAAGTCATACCATAGTTCAAAATGAGTGATTTTTTTAAAGTCCTAACTTATGCCCAAACCGCCTCTTTCGAGGTTTTCAACCTAGTGGGCTTTTTTTGAGGAGGTTGTACACAGTTTATACTCTTGTGGGTCAGGAGTAACATGCAGTTTATGCTCTTGCATTAAGGAGCGTAGCAACTTGCAATTTAAGCTCGTGTTTTGAGGAGCTTTGCAACTTGAGGATTTTGCTCGAATTTGAAGAGCTTTGCAGCTTGAACACTTTGCTCGAATTTGAAGAGCAATACGACTTGAAGACTTTGCCAAATTTGAAGAGCTTTACATCTTGAAGTTTGGCTCGAATTTGAAAAACTTTGCGATTTGAAGTCCTTGCTCGTATTTGAAGAGCTTTCGACTTGAGTCTTTGCTCGTATTTGAAGAGCTTTGTGACTTGAACACTTTGCCCAAATTTGAAGAGCTTTACAACTTGAAGACTTTGCTCTAATTCGAAGAGTTGTACGCCGTAAAGATTTAGTTCAAAATTGGGGAGCTTTGTGACATACAATATATGCTTATGTACCAAGAAGCATTGCAACATGCAGTTTAGGCTCGTGCATCGAGGAGTAATATAACTTGCAGTTTAGGCTCGTGCATTAAGGAACATGCACTCGCTGCTCAGGAGTGCGGGCGGCGGGAGTCTGTGCTCTTCCCCCAGCCTGGGATGTGGCTGCAGCAAGGGGAAACAACCCTGCCTGAGCCAAAGTGGTGTACATGCTCATGAACTGTGCCAGTGTCTCCTGAAGAGCTAGAGTAGTAGTAGCAGTGGGCGTGTCAGGTGCCTGGACTCCGGCTGGGTCTGCTGGTGGTACCTCGGCGGCAGCTCGCGCAAGTGCTCTGGCTGCACCACGTGCGCATCCTCGGCCTCTACCCCGACCCCGACCTCTGACGGCTGCAGTAGGGGGCGCGGGTGCCTGATCGTCTCGGGTAGCACATGTCCTCACAATCTATGAGAGAATAGAAGACAGAAGTTTAGAATTGTAATGTCAAAATACCGCACAACAAGGAAATCAAATAAAGTGGAAATTTCCCTAACAGTTACATAGCCTCTCATAGATAAGTACAGACGTCTCCGTACCGATCAGCGAGACTCTAATAAACCGGCTTGTGATCCTTGACTCCTACGAACCTAGAGCTCTGATACCAAGTTGTCACAACCCCGGTTCGCCCTCCGTGAACCATTGTGACGGCACCTAGTCTCTACGACTAGGTAAGCCTAATTTGCGAAAGAAAACTAAAATGTAGCGGAAGTAAAACAATTTAAAAACAAAAATAAGGCAATAACAGTGTTAAATGTGCCGCTCGGCATACACCATATTTATATAAATCTTAAAACCAATATCTAAATCCAAGACCCAGAAACCACGCTCTTGCCAAGAGTACTCGACTCCAAATGGTCCAAATCTATTCAATTCAATCGCATAATATAAATAACACTTCAAGTAATGATTCTACAATTAAAGTCTAAGCTAATACGCGAAATTATGTAAAAATGACCAAAATGCCTCTCGGGCCCGCGTCTCGGAATCGGGTAAAATTTATAGTTTCAGAATCCTCACACTCTCATGTATCTATACATAACACGAACACTGAAATCGGAGTCCAAATAACCCCTCAAATCCTCATTTAAAGGCTTCTTAAACTCAAGCCCTAATTATCCATTTTTCCCAAATTTCTCACCACTAATTAGGTCTTTAATCACATAAAAACAAGTTTGAAGTCAAGGATATTACCTCCAAGTGATTCCCCTTTGTTTTCCTCAAAAATCTCTCTCAAAAGCTTCAAACATAGATGAAAATGGTGAAAGAATGGACCATTTTTGCAAAGGCAACTATTTATATGTTCTGCCCAGCGATTCCCG